AAGAGATAAAAGGAAAGGGAAGCAAGCAGAGAGTTGGGGACCTCATACCACCAAGAAAGCAGTGCTGGGAGCAGAGCGTGTCCTTTGGACCTGGGGTTCCTGGGCAGAGAAGCTCCTAGTCCAGGAGAAGATTGATGAGAAGCACCTTCCTCCAGAGCCGACAGAGAGAAAGCCTTCTCCCGGAGCTGACACCCTAAATTTGAACTCCTAGCCTACTAGACTGTGAGAAAACAAATTTCTCTTTCTTAAAGCTATCCACTTGTGGTATTTCTGTTCATAGCAGCACTAGATGACTAAGACACCAGCATTCCAGAAATTTTTGTAACTATCACTCTGATGGATATTATTCTAAATTAAAGCAATAGTGATGGATACAAGTTTCTACCTTACTGAAATAGCAATAGCCAGATGTATTTTGTAGAAGCAGATTCTCCTACTATCTCCTATTCTATATGTATATACATTTTTTAAAGTCAATAAAACTTGAAATAAAGGGAAAAGAGAAGTTCTGGTTTTACATATATTGACCATAGCTTAGATATTACAGATGTTTTCCCTTTGTCACTATATAAAAATTAAAATTGTTAGCGTCTCAATTTTTCTTTACAAAATACATTTACCAGTCTTGAATGATAGTGGTAATATGAATGTTAAGATGCTAGAGAAACACACATTAAACAACCTTTTTGGAAGCAGGGCTTCCTATTCAAATTTAGTAAGGGTATATGAAAATATAAACTGCTTATTTTCTAACTCCCAGTCTCTCAAGTTGTTAATTCAATTCACAGAATCAGAGAATCACAGAATTTTAATGTTGGAAGGGACCACAGAAATTATCTAGTCCAACCTCCTGATCTTATACATTAGAAGCCCGAGGTCATTCTTTTTCATGTGTACTCAGCCAAAATTAAAAATATGAATCAGCTCCATACTTTCATTTATTAGAAGTAAGATATCTGTTAACACAAATGAAACCCCATTTCAAAAGTACCAAAAATTTCTCTTCCATGTATCTTTATAATAAAACTGCACTGTGCCCTTTAGACAATGTTGGCATTATTAAAGTCAAACGTCTGTATTTAGGAACCTCTGACTTATGTTGAGTGAGAAACGATAGTGCCCAAATCAATTGGACTCAAAGTGCCTTTAATGCAAGGGCTATATGGTACCTGGTTTCATATTTCTAATGACTAGCAGAGTACCTATCACACAGTGAAAAAATCCATTGCTGTCGAGCCGGTTCTGACTCACAGCGACCCCACAGGACAGAGTAGAACTGCCCCATAGGGTTTCCAAGGAGCAGCTGGTGAATTCCAACTGCCGACATTTTGGTTAGCAGCCGAGCTCTTAACCACAGCACCATCACACGGTAGGTGTTCTTTTACTGTGTTGATTGGTTGAATGAATGAATGATCACTTTGCATATTAGTGCAACAAAATACATAGAGGAAACATGAAATATTAAATCTCTCCTAGGCTAGTTTACAAGGTTATTCAGTTGAGCTTTGGGGTGTTTAATTTTTTTATTGCAAATATCACTACTTGGCTTCCCAGCAGCTTGTCATCACAGAAATTTGTACCTGAAGTTCTCACTAGAATAGGTACCACCCTTACAGCTTTCTATTCTTAATGCTCTAAAAGTGTACTGGAAATAGTCCAACAGCAGCATGATGGAAGAAACCCTGCCATTAACTAAAAGACGATTCTAACCTGCATAACCATTTACACACCCCTCCTTCTCCTTCTGCTTAAATTTAAGCCTATTTTACCACAGAATCGTACAGTCATTTAGAATAATGCTGCTGTTTGGAATCCAAAAAAAAAAAACGAAGATTTGTAATATTTCAAGGTGTCTTTCCCTCAGTTTTCTTCATGTGACTGAAACTATAGGAATGTAAACATCTTACCATCCAGATGATCCACATAACAATACACATCGTAAGTTTCAAGAGGAGAACGAAATCCGTAGGTCCTAACTCCTTCCTTCCCCATCATATCTCCATAACAGCCTTCTCGGGGTGTCCGAATGGGATATCTGGGGAAATAAACAAATACTAAGTGGCACTTTTCTCTCATGTTCAATGAATGAATTAAAGTCTGCAGCCCCCAGACCTCTCACCTAACAGTCTGGTCAGATAGCCAGCCTGCGTCACACTGCTCAAATCCATCTTCATAGGCGGCACTGAGCTGCTCTGGGTTTGCTATGACTGCACCAATATCCACACAAGTCTTCTTTGCAGCCTCAAAATTCAGAGTGTACCTGCTGGTCGCAGCTCGATAGTGAAACACAACCCCTGCAAAGACAGCAGCAAGCAATTAGGAGCATGTTCACATTTTTCACCATATTGTGCAAAATTTCTCATTGGAACAATGTATCAAATTAATTGGAAAAATGGTAATAACATCATGATAGTTCTTTATGTTTACATGATGTAATGCTTTTTTATTCAACAAAGCTAGAATTATGCCAAGTTGCCCTCATGGTGATTTGAAGAGCTCCAAAATGCCTATCACCTAGGTCTCCCATTCCTTTCCATTAGAAAGCTTCCTAGCCAGGAATTTTCTGTTAACATGTAAACAATCCAAGAAGGGGATTTAAGTAACTAAGTACTCAGTGGTAGGTAGTTGTCCTAATCACAGGCGATATTTATCACGGAAGTACCGGGCACTTAAAGGGAGTAGATGCTCCAGTAAACACAAGAGTTAAGAGGACCACAAGAACAACTCCCCTCCTGATATTTCCCAGAGACAACTCTATAGAAACATGAAACATTCACACGTTCCATGTAAACATTCACTAACACCACTTCCTCCAAACATAAAACATTGAGATATTTACTTCCTGAGACAATATAAAGCCTAAAAACCAAGGCTGTTGCCATCAAGTCAATTCTGATTCATAGCAACCCTGTATGTTACAAAGTAGAAACTGCTCCATAGGGTTTTCTTGGCTGTAACCTTTACAGAAGCAGGTTGCCAGAGCTTTTTCTTCCGCAGCGTCGCTGAATGGGTTTGAACTGCCAACCATCAGGTTAGAAGCCGATTGCAAACTGCTATGGCACCTAGGGGCCTTGAGACAATACACTAGACTAGAAAAGACACTGTACCATGTATAAATCAAAAGTCTTGCTTCAGTCCCTACTTTGCTCCTTAATCACATACAAGTCCGTCTCTCTGAGCCTTAATTTGCTTCCCCATAAAGTGGAACTAATATTGCTTATGTGATTTGATTGATGTGAAGGTCAAATTAAGCAGAGGATGCAAAAATGTTGGGTAGGCTACTACCCAAAGGTATAATCATATTCAGTACCTAACCAGCATAATTTAAGGTCTTTGCTATGACAGGTAAAACATAAGATTTTTGTCCCAAAAAAGGCCTGAAATAAAGTTCTCCGGAATCCCTTGGTATGAAGATACTCGGTACTTGCTTCAAATGCCACTTTGTTATATTTCAAGGGTTGCCTAAACTAGTGGTTCTGGTCTCCACGGCTCAAGGAATAGTCAAAGGGGTGAGAGAAGAGCAGAAGGGGTAGAGCTTTTGGGTCCTCTTCTTCCACTACAAAAAGAGCATCTCCTTTTTTAGCTGCAATAAATGGTGACTCATTTCCACAAGCCCACAAAGTTGGTCAAGCCTGGGAAGTTGGTGGAAAACAGAAACTGGGGCAACTGGGTTTTACAATGAGATTTCATTAAGATGAAGATTAAAATTATTCTAATCATTTGTTTAAGATGACTTTTTTTGTTATTTTTGGAATGAATTGTGGTTCCCAAAATATCTTCCACTCTCCTTTTATTCCTAGCAATTTCCTGGAGCTAACAACAGTGCATCACTCACAGTCTGACTTCTAGCTATAAGATTATTTCCCATATGACCTTCCTTTCATGGTCTCTCTCTTTCAAGGAAGTCGAGTGTCTGCCAATAAAGTAACTATGGGGAGTGGACTAGTCAGGTCATAGATAAGCACCTCTGATCAGTGTCAACAGAAAAAGACATGTCCCAGCACCAAGTAAATACACTGACAACTAACATTCATTTTCCCATTTCTGACTTTTCATGCCTCGAACAGAAACTCTTGCAAAATATTAATTAAATGCCTTTCAGAAAATTTGTACATTTATAGAACCTTTATAAATTGCCAGGAAGTGTATATGGTGCTATCTGGTAAGTATGAGAGATAGCCTATTGTAATCTCTAATGCCTAAGCAAGAATCTGGATGATTTTAAATTAGATTTATGATGATCAAAGCTTCAAATAGCCTTCTAGGTAATTAAAAATCCTATGCTTACACTGAAGATTGGTGGTAAGAAGGCACAAAGGGGCCCCCAAGACCAAGATAGGGATGTATAAGTATGTGTAATTGTTGGAATAATTTGAAGACCCCATGGGGCTAAGGAGATTAGGTGGAGGATTTTCATTGTTTCAGAGGGGCAAAGGGCAAATCCACTGCTAATTCTTTAATAACAAAAATTGTAAGAAGCTGTTAGACCCCTTTTGGAATTGAAAAAAGATATCTGTATATATATATATAAAATAAAAGAGATCACAGTAGAATAATCTTAGGTTAACTAAAATAAATAATAAAAAGGTTAAAAGAGCCCAGGATATTTAATGGATACCCAGACAAGATAAAAACAGATTTACAGAAGGAAGCAATAGAATCTGAATGTAAAAGGATGTTCAGAAAGTTGATATGTTGCATCTGAAATTCAAAGTATTTCCTTTTGGCTACACAAGAAAGAGTTTCAATAAATCCCTTTGTATATATTTCTGAAAGGTAAATATTTTATAGGAAAATGGAAGGTTAGAAGAAAATCTGTTCCATCATGTCTGGGTCTTAGAATTTTGCTTAATAACTTGCCAAAATAATATCCTTCCAAGAGTTATGGCATTATGTGCATATCCAATTAAAGCAATTTTTCTTTGCTTTGTCTCCTAACTTAAATTCGAATGACATATAAACTACCACTGAAAAGGGATAAAACTAAAATGTCTCATTACAAGACTTAATGGATAACAACCAGTGCATTAGCCTTAAAAAACATTGTACTAAATTCGTTTTTTTAATCCAACTCAAAAATTATTTAATATTGGAGTTTTAAAGGCACTGTAATATGTACCATACAAAAAACCAAACCAAATCCATTTCCGCTGAGTTGATTCCGAATCATAATGACCCTATAGAACTAAGTAGAACTGCGCTATAGGCTTCATTCAAGAAGCGGCTGGTGGATTCGAACTGCTGACATTTTGGTTAGCAGCCAAGCTCTTAATCACTGCACCACCAGGACTCCGATTTGTACCTAGTACTTACTAAATACTTTATTTTTCAACGTAAGATAGAATTTAAGTTTCTAAAAAGCAAACTCAAAGATTTTAATAATGATATTAAGAGAGGGAGCAAACAAGGGGAAAATAAGTTGGCATATAAATAAATATGTATTTAAAAAAAGGTAGATCAAGCCTTTACGGCCTTGAAGAATAATCATTGCTAGATCTCAACATTGAAATAATGAATATTGAATTGTTTACCATGTCCTGAGGTATTCATTATTTCCAGTATACTCAGCACACAACAACATACTTTACTAAGGAATCCTGGTGGCACAATGGTTAAGGGCTGGGATGCTAACCTAAAGGTTGGCGGTTCAAACCCTCCAGTGGTTCAGTGGGAGAAAAGACCTGGTGAACTGCTCCTGTAAAGTTACAGCCTAGAAAACCCTATAGGCAGTTCTACTCAGTCAAATAGAGTCTGTATGAGTCAGAATTGACTCGATGGCACATAACAACATCAATATACTTTACTACGTTTAATCAATCAACTTGTTTTTTTTTTTTTAATTCACAAAAAGTCACCTGCCTTGACCCCCAGAACTGAAAAACAAACACCTCATTTTTGTTGAAAGACATGGAGTGGAGATTTGATTGATGTTTTTTCCACTTATCCAAACCTTGGATAACAGAGTTACTTCGAATGCCCCTTCACAGTACTTCTGAATCAGGTATCCTGCTATACTACCTTCTTACAGATTCCGAAAGCCTTACCATCCACTGCCAACGACACGGTGTCTTGTGTGTCTTCAATCCCGTACATGACATCGCAGCGGTAAAGGCCCGCGTCACTTGCACGCAGCTTGACCATGGTAAGTGAGGCATCGCCCACGTCTTCCGGATGCGTAGGCACAGACACTCTCCCTTTGTAGCCCTGGCCAATCTTGATGTTTCCATTTTGGGCCACTAGAACCGTAGTCTCCTTTAAATCCTTTCCACTTTTGTCCACTTCAATCTTAGACCATTTGATTCGAAGAAATTCATTGGTTGTGTTGTAACTTGGTGGTAAGGTTGGCAGAGTTGAAAAATGACAAGGTAGGCTGACTTTTCCAGAGAGGGAGCCCTTAACAGGAGGATTTTTTTCCACTTTGACTAAGAGGAAAGAGAAAACACCAGATCGACAGTATTAAAAAGAAAAAAAAACAACAACAACTGAACGTATTAAATATGTGAATGGATAAGAAATTCTTACAGTGATTTGGTTTGTACTTTCAATGTGAAACAATGAGAATTATTTTACATACAGAGAATATCATTCAATAATGTTTTATAACAAAGACAGAGGTTAATAATGCTCCTTTTATGTACTGAAGTATGGCATCCATTTTAAAGCACATATTTGTAAGTGTTTAACATGAACAAAATATGTGGTAAAATAAGGCAAGCATAAAAAGGCAATCAAAGGCAAAAGGATAAAAAGTAGTTGAAAAGTAAAAAATTATGTCTACAGGTCAGAAGATGAAAAACATTTAACTCCCACATCATCTTAGAAGAAAGGAAAATAAATTTGAAGAAGGAAGTGAGAATTTTTTTAAAAAGCGCATCACTGGATTGGAGCTGGGATAAGTCTAATACTTAAAGGATTCATTCCCTTTGGTCCTGTGTTTGAACCAAAGGTTTTCATCATAATGGCAAATCCAGCTGCAATCACTTTGCAGTGAAACACTGCCTCTCGATTATCTCCTCAGGGGAAAGTTGGCTACTGTTCACCTAGCCCTTCTTAAATATTTATCTGCAGAATGTCTCTCTGTTTAAGCCTGTGAACTTTTAATGATCAAGAATACATTGACTACAATTCAGCCTCGCTACATGCAAAAGAAATGTTCTTTCACTCTTATAGAAATCCACCTCCCTGCCACAGGGGACTGATAATTGGGCTAAAAAAACATGTTGGTAATAAGAATATAAATTATTGTTACTGCACAAGCAAATCTCACTTCATGAAAATATGGTCTATGAGTTACTAGCAATCACTAGGTGGAGTGATATAATGATTTTTAACTTACAGAATGATGTATATCTAACACTTAGTGTGTGTTCTTGGCCAAAAGTATTGGTAACACACATCTCAATATGAACATGCATCTGAAATGATAAAGCTTCTACATAGACTCATGATTCAGTTGCAGATAAGTCATTTTGAAAACTGCAGGAAGATATTATAGAGATTATACTTAAAAAAATACTTTCTATTGTTAAAGATTGAAATTTAGCTTCAAAAAGACTGCCCTATAAAACCTTATATATAACACAAATAAATCTAAAATAATTAATACAGTATTATATATAGTGTATCTATAATAGAGATCGGAGCCCTGTTGGTGCAGTGATTAAGAGCTTGGCTGCTAACCAAAAGGTCAGCAATTCTAATCCACCAGCAGCTCCTCGGAAACCCTATGGGGCAGTTCTACTCTATTGTATAGAGTCACTATGAGTCGGAATCTACTAGATGGCAAAGGGTTTAATTTTGTTTTTTTTCGATAGAGATCGTTAATTATTTCAAACTTATAATGATCATTGCTATGAGATATTTTTTAAATCACTTTATTAATCAATATATAGCTTGTCCAAAAGTACTTAACAAGATTAAATAAATGTAAAATTTATATGCTGTGTATTAGCTGCCCTAAATTACTCTTCTAAAATGTTACTGAGACTATTAGCATTCTGGAATATAAGATCAGAGGAATAATTCCATTTTCAATGGCCACTTTGGCTGACAAAATAAATTTGTCTTACTTAAAACGTAACCTTAGAGTGACACTGGCTTATTCCCTCACTAAGGATGCTCCACCTAGAGAAAGTGACACTCAGGCTCATGCCTGGCCAGTGACAGAACGGATGTCTATTTACCATTAATTGAATAATCTTTTAGGTTTGGTATTGATTGGGTTCTTCCTCTATTCCTAAATTAAATATCATAAGAAGTCTTAGTTCCCTTTCAGAGTCTAACCAACCAGTTGCCATAGAGTCCATTCCAAATCATGGTGACTCCAGGTGTGTCAGAGTGTGTATCAGAGTAGAACTGTGCTGTATAGGGTCTTCAATGGCTGATGTATTGGAAGTAGATTGCCAGGCCTTTCTTCCGAGGTGCCTCTGGGTGGACTCAAACCTCTAACCTTTCAGTTAGCAGCCAACTGCTTTGACTGTTTGCACTATCCAGAGACTCCTCCAGAGTCTATACTCATCCTATTTCTATAATTCTTTCATTACTATCTGAACTAAAACCTTTTAGAAATTTCATGATTTTTAAAATAAGTTCAAAAAGTCCACAGGTGACTCCCTGAGGGTGACCCTTATTTGTTTCATATTTCTTCAGTTTGGACCCAGTTAAGGAGATGATGATAGCACAAAGATTATCTCGAATTTGGGAGGGTAAAGGGTGAGGATTCTGCAGGCTAAAACCTCTTCATTTACATTCATGCTGTGTTCTGTGAAATCCTTCCATCGTGCTTCCTGAAAAATTAGATGATTTTATTCACCACAAATAAAATACTGTTTTTTCATGGGGAATAAACAGTTTAGCCATCAACTTCAATTATGGTATAAAATATGAGATTCTTTATCATCTCCTTCAAAACAAGTATAAGGTAAATAACTTTTAATTCCTTAATATTTATTAGTAGATAATACTTTCTTTTCATAATTTTAGATGTGTTGGGGCAGACACAAGATCCAGCCCAATCTATCTAATAGGCAGATTTCTGAATTTTAGGGCACTGTTAAATAATTGCATGATTATAAAAAGATACATTGGAGCAAAATTATGTAAAAAAGTAAATTTCCCAAGGGCTATTTATTGGTCTAAATGTTTACAGATATAATAACATTAAAAGCTTTGGTTGTATAAACATGCATATTCATGTACAATCTAGTCTTAACAACAAGATTAACAAAAAGCTGTGTGGTCAGATCTTTTGTGTATGAAATCTTGGGTCTTAATGCATTGGGTAACAAGAACTAAGTTCACTAAATCTAAATATTTTATGAAAGAAATTTAGTAGTTCAGCAAATCATGTTTATAGGTTATGCTAAAAACAAAAACAAAAGAATTCTGCTACCTGCAGGAACTTGTTTGAAACTCTGACAATGCAAGTAATAAAAATGAATCCTAACAAAAACTCACTGTTCCCACCAGATGGTTTTGGTCTAAATGACTACAGGAAGAGAGAAAGATCTAAATAATGAATGATCAATTACCTCTCATTCTCAGTAAATTCTGCCAAGTAAGGATGAGTAAATTCCATTTGCACAATTTGACCAAACACACACACACACACACACACACACACACACACAGAAACCTTGGCCAAATAGATGTCAGATTGAGAACATGGGAATGTATCACTCTCTCAAATAGTAAATATCAATCTCATTCATTCAATGACTCGAGATTGTGCATGATTCCATTTCTTGCCACTAGAGGAATAGTCAAATAACTAGGTCAATGCTAGAGAATCACTGATTAGGACTGTTTGTCACCTGATATAATGGGAATTGTTGAAGCAAAAAGCTCTTCATGTGTTAGCATAAAGCCAGTAATCAGTATACAGTGTGTTCACTCATTTTAGTTATTGACCTCTTGAGTAGTTTGTAGAACAGAGAAAACCTTAAGATGAAGTATTTGTGGTGATTCCACAGATTACTACTGTGTATCCCACTCCCACTATGGACTCGGCAAATTTGTTTTGTGTGAATCTTAAATTTTCTACTTTGCCTCTAATGTGAAAAAATAAAATTCTTATGAAATTGGCCCAAAATTAATTATATCTCTTGATAGTAATCGTGAATTTACGAAGGACTTGATTCTTGGAGTAAGGTATAATACAGTGATTAAGGGCATGGACCATGGAGCCCCACTGCCTGGGTTAACTCCTGGCTCCATCACTAGCTTGCTGTGTGATCCTGCACATTAACTATGTCTCCAAGTCTCTTTGTGCTACAGTAACCTCATCTGCAAACTGGGGATAATGAAAGTATCTGCCTCATTGGAAAGTTACGATTATATAAATTAACTACGTAATATACTTAGAACAGGGCCTGGCACATAGAAATTACTCAATATTTTTAGTTATTATTAGTACTTTAAAATACTGTCAAGGAACTACCACGTAAGTAATCCACCCCACCCCACCCCCGCCATTGTGTTTTTGTGAGTTGTTTCTTTGTTTTAAGTGGAAAGTTTAAATTTTGTTTAAAGTGGAAGGGTAACTGCCCTGTCCTTCAAGGTGCTCCTATTACTTTCTCTGTAATTCCCCTTCCGTTACTGTCCACCCAAACCAACTCTTCTCTCCATATCTTCTTTCTATGCCCTCCCTCACTGAATGCTGTTGTCCTTTCCTCTCTGTGACCTTCACCAGTACTTAACTTTCTAAAGATATTCAAGAAGACAGCTCCTAGGCTGTTAACAGATCTGTTGAGCCTATACTCTGATAGCCATCTAGGTTACTCAAGGAGACATTCATTTATTTGTTCATTTATTTATTGCTTCACTTATTCACTCAACACATAAAATAATTAAGTGCTGAAAATGTGTCAGGCACTCTGCTAGAAGGTGAAAGACAGGCCTCTCCCCAACTCAGCCTATTCTCTGGCTTGTTCATTTGCTTACTTGTTTATTGCCTGTCTCCTATAACTAGAAGATTAAGTTTAATGAAAATTAGGACACTGTCTGACTTGTCCACAGTGGTATCCCCAAATACCCACAACACTGCCTGGCACATAGAAGGTACACAAAAAAATGTTGCTAATGGGTGGATAAATGGACGGATGGATGGATGGATGGATGGATGAGTGGAGGGATGGATGGAAGGAAATAAATAAGGAAAGAAAGACAGAAAGAAAGAAAAGCCTGTGCATGAAACTGCAAATTGTTTTAGAACATCTGAAGCATAGGCTGAGTGTGGGGAAGAAGTGGAAGCTCAGTGTAGAGAAGTATACTAGGCAGAAGCCAGATCACTAAAACTCGCTATTGTTTACCTCAAGTTCTTTACTATAGCTCCTTTGAATATATTAAATAATAAAATTGGAATCACAGAACCCTCATTAGGTGGATACAAAATTTAAAGCTAAGGAAACCAATACATATGCACTTGTCTAATTACTTTAAAAAGAGAAAGAGAGAAATGGGGCAAAAACTTGCTTGTCAGCCTTCTCTTTATCTTCTTGACTCTTTTCAAACTCTATACTCTTACATGTTTAATGATTGTATTTTTTATAGAAAAATCTTTAAGTAGTACTGAAGAAGATGGGTTTTAAGAATATTCCCCATGTCAGATGTGAGCCTCTGCCCACAGTTTTAAAGTACTCTGGGAAGTTACTGAAAGTCCACTTGCTTTTTTAGCATGCTGTTCATTATTTTCTTTTGATTTATTTATTTAAAACTACTATTTTCAGCCAAATAATATTGTTAGCTGGAAATTTTCAGCATTGAATAGACCAAAAATTAATCTTTTATTCGCAGTGATTCCATATTGCCATTCCATTTCCCAGTACTCAGCTTTTGAATTTCAAATAGCACCAACGAAAACGTTACCACACTCACCTTTATGCAGTGCACGGGTTGCTACAAAGATAGAGCACATCCATAAGATGCTTTTTATATTTATCAACATCTTGTCCTAGAAATAAAGAAAAATGCAAAGCAAGTCATAAGCATTCAGGTTGGTGACAAGCCATAAATCACATGCTATTTATTAGTGCATTGTATGTAATAAAAGTACAAAAAGCAGCTTCTCTTGGATTGTAAAAATAGGAGGGAACATGTAATAGGAGAAATTGTTTCAACACTTTAATTATTAGTTTGAATCTCACCCAATGCAGTAGTTACCAAAATCATTCCAGAACTCAATTTGGGGACATATAACAATGTGGATAGGTGGGACAGCTACAGCTGAGTAGGCAGTAGGAAGAATAATACAGACCACAACCTAAGTAACTAGAGGCTAGGATCTGGCCCAAAGAGGGAGGGTGACCACAAAGTCTATTTAGAAACAGGAAGCTTGTCATGGATGGAACAAGAGAAGATGGGGAAGCAATGGAGAGAGATGTTGAGAGGAATGAACTTGTATCAAATGTAAAGAGGAACCCGTTGGTGTTTCATGTACATGGTATAAAAACAGAGGATAAGGACCTCAGCAGGCTTTTTAAAGCACAGACTCAATATAGTTTCTAGGTGGCGGAACAAACAAAATAAATGTGTTATAAGGAGTTGTTAATTACAGAAGAGACCAATGCTTGCCATGAGTTTTTTAAAGCAGTTCCAGCAATTCTAAAACCTCAGGGGTAAAGAATGAAAGAAAACACCCTGTACTGAAAGTCAAGAAACCCTGGCCTTGGCTTTGCTATTAACTTATTATGTGACTTTAAGCAAGGCATTTAGCAATCTGAGTCTCAGAATGGCCCCCTTCAACTCAAATTTCTAAGAAGATATGATTATGAGGAGGATAAATACCAGTGTTGGAGACCATCTAGAAGTCAAAGAACCAGTCTCAGAGGAACTTGAGAAGATTATTTGTTCTCCACAGTTGTGCCTTCTCAGCTACATTTAGAACCATTTCATAACAGCCATTGTTGGTTGGCTACCCAGTAGCCATTCCTCTTTCTCCTTCTGAATAAAACTGATTCCATTCCAATATCTTACCTCTTCACATGGCCACATGTTTTAGAAGAGAGTGGGTTCAACCCAACCACAAGGGGATGATCCTGATTATCCTAAGTTAATTACAGTAGTCTCATTCCCTTTGCCAGTGACATGTTTCTGAATGAGCAGGTGATGCAATTTTGGCCAATGAGATGTGAGGTATCTCTGCTTGGTTGCCCCTGGGAAAGGTATATTCATCATAAGAAGAATGGGAGAGATGGTTGTTTTTCTTCACTGGACATGATAGCATATTTCTCCTGAAACTTTTGTAGCCATCTTGCATACATGAGTGTATGAGATAGCCTCTGTCAACAAAGCTGAGAATCAGGAAGGACAGGGCTTAAGTCCTCAAAAGTTAGACCTACAGTGGGCCCTACCTTTTGACTTATTTTTATATGAAATGATAGATCAGTTTTTGTTTAAGCCTAATTAAATTGGGACTTTTTGTTACTGCTGTTGAAAGCATCCTGACACATACTATAATTGGTACCCTGAATAACTTCCTTACACCTTCCTTAGAAACGTCTAAATTCTGTGTTATTTAGGAAACGTAGATTGAAAAAAAAAAAGAATCCAAGTCTAATTTGTGCTCAAGTCCAGTTTCATAGTATATGACAGCTATGCTTTTTTCCTTAATATTCTTCTGCATTTGATTTCTTTATTTTATATATCTAAAAAGATGTTAGAACAAAACAAAGTTATAAAATTCTTTAATTCTAGATATTTTCTGAAGGAACTTTTTATAACCTAATACATTATATATGACATTTTTCACCTAGAGGCCATTGGACAACCCACAATGGAAAGTATATAGTTGATAACCCTAAGTTAACCTTGATAACTATGTTTATTATTTACCAAATCATTACTGGTATTTGCTAATAGACTTTGTTAAACACTAACTGGGAAATTCCAAGCAGTTCTGCATTTCTTAGTTTCTAATAAGATACCATAGCAAGCAGAAAATATTCACCTACATCTTAATGCTATTAAAATATTTCAAGGAAAGAAAAAAAAGATCACTTTCACGTACTCTCTATTTTAAAGTTTCTAAGCAAAATGAAAGTTTAGACTGTATCATAAAATACTGTTAAAGGAAACGTATTTCATGAATATTAACTGAATCCAAATAAGAAACCTTTCTTTCATTGTACTTATAAACAATAATTTCCTATTTTCCTTTAAGAAAAATTGTTCTCAGTTTTGTTTGTTTGTTTTTTTTTTTTTTTTTGGTTTGTTTGTTGTTGTTATCGTTTTTCAGGAAACCTTTAAAGCATAATATTGAAAGTCTGGGCGGTACTGTCAAATGGCCCTGAATTCAAGTTAATTCAAGTTCTGCATCCTCCGCTTACAGTCTGTGACTCTGGTAAGTAACTAACTCTCCCTAAACACATTTTCTGTAGCTATTTAATAGTGAAAATTAGTACTTAATCATTGGTGTTTTTGTGAGAACTAATAAAAATAATGTATATAAAGTACAGCTCAGTGTCAAAATGTGTTCAATACTCAATATTTATTGTTAAAATTACTAATTCAGGATTTCTACAGATCTTCTCTTTCTGGTTTTGTATCACTAATAGTAAAAGCAAAAGTATTTGAAACTCTTGGATCTGAAAATCAAAACCTGGGCTACCACCCCAGTAGCAGTGTGCAACTTATACTGACAATGAATTGTCCTGTAACTTGTTCCTATGTCCTCTGAATCATTAATTTTGAACATATTTTCTCTCTTCTATAAAACAGTAGGCTTCTGGAAGGCCGAGCTTGTCTCTTATTCAATTTACTAATCCCACAGTGTTTGCACAGTGTCAGGTCCAGCGTACACTCCTGAGGAATGTCTGCAGACTAAATGAATAACCAATGCCTCCATGTGCTATTCAGAAATGCACTTTGAAGTGGAAGTGCCAACAGTCATTTGTGAATATGGGCCTGTAGGCTAATTAACACTTGCAGCACATTTTAATTAATCCTGTGGAATATTTAACATGACTCCATACCATAAAAAAAAAACCAAAAACCAAAAACCCAAACCCATTGCCTTTGAGTAGATTCCAATTCATAGCGACCCTATAGGAAGCAGACTGTCACATCTTTCTCCTGCAGAGCAGCTGGCGGGTTCAAACCGCCGACTTTTTGGTTCACAGCTGAGCGCTTTAACCACTGCACCACCAGGGATCCACTATGACTCCATAGTATCTGATATTTGCCGATAGCTAGAGTGTCAGATCACTTAACAAAACCAGAGGAGAAAGTATGATTCTTACGGGGAATCCTAACCTTCTACCAAGACTCAAAAGTCTAACTCTTTGAGCCATACATGATCTTTATAACAGTGTTGTTTTTTTTTTTTTTTAACGGAGGGAGGAAATGGTACCTCATTTATACAGGCATAACACATATACTCATCATAGCCCCTAAAGCTTATCTAGAGAAGGAAGTCAGTGCACTGAAAATACAAACGAGAGATCAGTCCTGTTTTAAATACACTTGCATAAACATGTTTGAATAAGTTACCAAGATTTAAAAATTGGAAAAGTTCACAATAAATCCCAGATCGCTGACTCTCATCAAAAATCAGATCTGGCAATGCTAGATCCATATCCCAGCAGTAAGTCATCAGTGTTAACCAAGCAGCGAGTCTCTGTTTGGCCCTGTGCCCTCCAGGCCATCACTGCCCCACTTAGCCTCTCATCCATTTCCACTCTGTATCTGGTCCCTATAGACACCTGAGTCTGCAACCCTTGAATTAAAGATGGTTTGTCCTTGGGCGTCACAAAAGACTAAGCACTAGGCTACTAACTGAAAGGCTGGGGTATAGAATCCACCCAGAAACACTTGAGAAGAAAGTCCTGGCAGTCTACTTCCAAAAGACCACAGCCATTGAAAACCCTATGGAGCGTAGTTCTACTCTGACACACATGGAGTCTTCATGATTTGGAATAGATTTGACGACAATTGGTTTTGTTGGGTTTTTGTTTGTTTTTTAATATATCCCCTCAGTAAATATCTCAAGAAGCCCTGGTGCACAATGGTTAAGTGCTCAGCTGCTAGCCAAAATGTTGGCAGTTCAAACCTACTCAGCAGCATTGTGAGAGAAAGACATGGAGATCTGTTGCTGTAAAGATTACAGCCTAGAAAACCCAATGGGGCAGTTCTACTTTGTCATATAGGTCACTATGAGTCGAAATCGACTCAACAGCACCTAACAACAACAACAGTCAGTATCGCAGAGTGCTTTTACTGCCTTTAGCTGCTATAGAGCTATATTTCTACCTCTTCATCCTCAGAGCCCATGGGCTTTCATTCCATTTCTCTAATTTCCTCAAGCTATGCCCACGCCCTTGATTGTTAGGGAATGCTATTTGCCTTCTTTGTTTGATCTTACTAAATGAGAAACTTCCTAAAGCCTCTAGCTTTGTTTTCAGCACCACTCTCCCATTTCAACCCCCCCGTTTCTATTTTTCTGCTCTTCCATTTCTGTCTTGTAAGCACAGTCTGTTAGTGATAACAAGTCTGTCTCCATGGAAAGACCTGAGAGATAGGAGAGCCAGTGCCTATATTTAGCCCTCTATTCCAGTGAAGTCAATGAGGAGAAAATCATTGAACAATCAAGGTACAATTGACTGAGACTGTTCAATTGTCTGGGAGACACAAGAGACAAGGTCAACACAGTGCTGAATTCTTATCCATGAGAAACGACTGAGAGAGGATAAGGGCCATGCCAGGGATGAGTTGCCTCAGAGCAGGCGAGAGCCAAGTTTCTATTAAACAGATATTTAATATTCACCCCTCGATCCTGGAGAAGCCTAGCTAAGCAAGGGTGACTTAAGGACAAAGACACAGTGGTTTTGTCTTCCAGTCATTCTGCTAATTAGTTACCCTGGACAACCAATTGTCTAGGATACCTCAGCCACAAAATGGATGTACTAAACATTGGCTATCATATTGCTCCTGGGCTCTTTCTCACAGGAG